GTGTGTGTGTGTGTGTCTCTCTCTCTCTCTCTCGTTCACATGGTCACTGCTGCTTCTCGATCCTTTCTTTCTTTCTTCTCATTGTGTTCTTGTCTCGTCTATAAGTCTTGTTTTCTTCCTGACTTTTTGTTGCGCGTTCCTCCGCCCCCCTCGGAGCTTCTGTACATCATGACATCCGCGGAGTGCGCGTCCTACCCCCCGTCCGCACACCCACTCACTCACTTCTTCTTCTTCACCGGGATCACGTCCACCGCGAAGTCCACCTCAAGGTCGTCGGCGTCCTGAATGACGCGCACGTCCTGCGCGCGCACCCGTGCCGTGACGTCGAGCAGCGGCAGGCCACACGCCGCCTCAAGTGTGCCGCGGACGCCGTCCCACGTCGCGCACATCAGCTCCACCGCGTCGCCGACGATCCGCCGTGTCCCAGCGAAAAGACGTGCGTTGTACTCCTCCTTCAGCGCCGCCTCCATAAAGGGGTCGACGCCGCCAATAGAATCCGCCAAGACTGACTGCTCCTCCGCATGTGCGGCGGCAGCACCGCGGCCAACGGTCATGTCAAGCGCGGCACCGCCGGCGCCCTTCGCCTTGCCTGTCGATTTGCCGTGCGCCTTACTCCCACCCCCAGCTGCTCCTGCGCCTCCGCCTTTGCGGCCGCCACCTGCCGTAGTGCTAACAACGCTCACACCGAGACTGCCGCCGCGCGGAGTCGGCGGTGACAGTGGGAGCTGCGGCGCCCGCAGTCCGACGGCAACTGAAACAGTGTCGTCCAGCTCACCCACACCCTGCGCGAGTGTGGAAAGCGCCACCGCTCCCGCAACGCGCCTCAGCAGTGTGTCGAGCGGCTCCCCATCCTTCTCACTCACCTGCGCCGCGCGGAGGAGAATGCTGAGGGCCTCACGCAGCGTGTTGCGGCACGGGGCGTCACGCAGACCGCAGAGATTAGCCCACAGCGTCTGCACCGACCCGTCCCACTCCGCGTGGTGCAGCGGATGGCCGAGCGCCGACATGGTTTGCGCGAGGTTTCGGTGCAGCGCGTCGAGCCGCTCGTACACGGCACGGTTAAACGGGATGCGCAGCGCGGCGTAGCTCGTCTCCTGCCACGCCTTGCGCCACTTCTCAACCAGCGCGTTCTGCGCCTCTTCCGCAGCCCTCGCAGCGGCGATGCAATCCTGTGTGGCCCTCGCAATCTCTACGGCCTCGTAGGCCGTGTTGTGTGTCGCCAGCGCGTTGACCACGCGTCGTTGCGCGTCGGCGATTGCTCGCGCCTCGAGCGCGTCCGCGACAGGCTGCGACAAGGTTTCCAAAGACGGACCGCTGTTACGTACCATGGCACAGAGTTCCACAATAACATGAGACGAGACAACGGGGATCATGAGCAGCTCGTAGCACTGCGTGAAGCGCCCCGGGAAGGGGGCACGGACGGAAAAGGAGAATACCGCATCGTCACCTGGCAGGATGACGCCATCAACCGGTGCGGAGAGGTAGAAGAAAGACTTGGATTGCGCGGACTTCTCCGCCAGCGAACGAAGCGACGGTCCCTTCGCGCGCGTTTCCTTCCTCTGTTGCAGGCTACATTCCTTATCCTCCTGTTGCCGCTTATTCTGCCCATTGCCCGCAAGGGGCACCACATCCTCATGACTGGTGTCGTCCATGCCTCCAGCTGCGTCAAAATTTTCGTCGCCTCCTCCCAAACCAGCACCGTAAGCCACGTCATGATCGGCCACGTCATCAATTTCATGGTCTTCATCTTCATCACACTTATAATTGTTACTGCCGTCTAATTCGGTGATCGGCTGATGTGGTGCCCAGCTGTAGTACACTGTCGTGGTACCGGTATTCTTAATTATCACCGAGCCATGGGCGAGTTCCCCAGGCTGCGCAAAGAACAGAACCCGGGTTGTGGATATTTCCAGAGAGGGCCTTGCTGCTGCATTGTCGTCGCCCATCGCTGTAAGACCGTCAAAACTCACCGTCCGCTGGCCCGCATCCTTTGCACTTGTCAAAGGGCTTGTTTTGCCTGATGTCTGCTGCGGCGCTGCTGTTGCAGGCGACAGTGATGCTGGTTGCGGCGGCGGGGGTGGCACATGCAGGACGGCAGGCGCGGACTTCTTCGCCGCCGCCGCGTCCTCTGGGCTTGTGGTCCACGGTGGCATCTGACCGCACACCTCTAAGTACGCCCGCGGCAGCATGAAGTGCGACATGCGCCGCTCAATCAATGGCATCACCTTGTGCAGCTTCTTCTTGTAATATTTGTCGCCGCGGAAGGAAATGGGCGTCATTCCGCTGCGGGGCTCCTGCAACGCCGTGGCCTCGAGATCCTTCTCCCCTGGGAAGACAATGCGTGTGTTTGCGAGGTGATTCATGTCACGCCGACGCTTGTCTGTCACCTTTCCGTACAGGGCGTATGGGAAGTTAGTGGTCCCTACCTTGAGGTAGCGCACGGCGCCCTCGTCGTTGGTGGCGCGCAGTGTACTTTCCCATGTGTAGAAGCCGGTGAAGACGGCGGAAGGCGTCGCATTGCTGATGAGCCCAACCTCCTCCTCCCGCCGCCGCGCCTGGTAGACTCCTTGTGACATATTCATGCACGCCCCCTTCACGTTACCACTGGCAGCCACACGGCTGCGGATATTCTCCTGCACGGTGGCCCACACGCGCTGCTGCTTCTCCCACCTGCGCATCGCTTTGGCCTGCAGGTTGCGTTGGTCGTACGTGTCCACGCACCGCGCAGAGTCCTCCCCGCGTGCAGGGGAGGACACGGAGCGAGACATGTCTGCCGTATGCTGCTGCTGATTCCTGAATGATGATGATGATGAGAGAGAGAAAGACGTCACTACACTCGAGTACTTTTGGTACTGAAGATTCAACGCGAATACAATCAAACAAGAAGGGATACACATGCACACACCAAATGTATATATATATATATATATATACAAGCGAAAAGAAACAACAACGTTTCGCAAAGGTAAATAGACAGAACACCACATTTACGACTACGATTACGAGCAACACCCATCAGAATCGGGAACACTACGACTACTTACGTACATGGACGCAATCACGCGATATGTCCCCCCCCC